ATCATTTCCCTTACCGAGGTTTCTTCATAATTGTAGTTATTTAAATACATTTACTCCAGGCCTAATATTTATCATATCAAATAATTCATTACAAATGTCATCCATTTCAAAAAACTCGACATGTGTAACGCGATCGGTTTGCTTACCACCAAACTGACAAAACAACCGTTTAATGGAAGTCCCTTTTCAAAGTGCCAATTTCTTTGGAACTTTGAAGCAAACCTATGTCTAATTGCCTCAATAAAAGTGTCAGAGAATGAGCTATCTTTTAGTATCTCCTGATCATTATTCTACGCACAAATATTAATATATATTGAGTTCATCAAGATGAATAATACTGTTCAGGGTTATCACTCCATTATATATGTTTCTCTATGCATGCACTCATCGACATATCCAAAACTGTATTTTCAGTAGTAAAGAATAGGTATATAATTATTGTGTTTATCAAGTGGTCTCTAATTTTTTCAGCGTCCGTGAAAAAATCGTTTTCAAGGTGTGTTCCAAAAATTGATACCACATTGTGGCACAAGCAGGTGCATTGTCAAGAATATAAAAAAAAACCTTGATTGATACCATTATGATAAATTATTATACATTTGTGCGAAAATTCGGACGTGCGCACGTGGTCAATCATAACATAAAGATTTGAATGATTGATAGCATAATTAGACATCACTCCATTATAGAAGAGTCTGTCTATAAAAGCTTAATCTCTTATGGCAGAAAAAATTATCATTCTCTTGTCAAAATGTAAGCTGTGCATGTTCCTATTTAGGAAGACACGAAACGATCTTCTTTTATTTCCCCTTTTCCATTCATTGCTGCTGAAATTCATTTTCTCCCACCTCATTTTCAAAGCGACCTTCCACCTTACTTCTGCAAACACCTACCAAGAATTGAGAAACCGGAGAGTTAAAAAAGCATTGGTCGGATTGAATTGGAAATCTGATTAGATTGTAACAGATCTAATGATGAGTGAATTATTCTGTCTCTAAAGGGTAATTCTTTTCAGGCAGACAACAAGCCAATTATTTATCTCTAATTATCACGTTTGTCGATTTTGAATAAGGAAATGATCTTATGAGTTTTGTCCCGATTCCGTTCCAGACAGAACAATGTAAATTTTCCGTCGATCTGCGGAATAATCTTCACACAAACGCTTAATGTGTCATAGGATCCTTTTTTCCCTTAAGCCATTAAAACTGAGGACAGGGCATTGTGGTTAAATAGATAATTCTCACAACCTTCTCTGTTTGGGTAACATTGGCGTAAATAAATGAATGAATGAATTTTGCTAACGGGCCATTGATGACAAAGTATTGCTACGTTAGATAAATCGCCCATTCTCAGTAATAATGTGCAGTTACGGTATATCAGAGACGTAAAATTCAACTTGAGTATACGCTCAATTTTTTTCCTGCAAAGTTTTCTCCAAATTCTGAGTTATATGGTAAAATATCCATAACACCAATTTGTTGAACAAAATTATGACAAATTGAAATACATGGTATTTTTTCTTTAAAATCACCCCAATATATACGTTACTGTGTATATTGATATAGGAAATACAATGATTAAGGCATTTTGACTACTTTAGAAAACATTTATATGCAGGAATATAATTTTTATTCGATGCAAGGGCAAATTATCTGTACTTTTTAAGGCATAAGAGTCAATAAACCTCTTTTTTAGAACAACTGAAGAACACTTTTAATAATCACTGAATAATGTAGTATGTTACGTTACTTATTACTTTTAATTGCCTTCATGAAAAACATGACCTGTATCAAATTGAATAAGTGGACGATGGAAAAATCAATAAATTTAAAAACAGTCATAATTATAATATTTATAAGAATAATATACGGTCTCGGAATTGTGTACGTCTAAAGTAACAAACTAATAAGGTAATTTGGTAACTATTTAGACATATGGATAAGTACATTGAAAATCCAGACTATAACTGTTGATAAAATATTACGTTATTGTCGTAACGTAAAATCATACGTTACTAGCTATGACAAAAGATTTTATATGATTTGTTGGGTTAAAGTTTGAAATCTTTTTTGTGTTTAAAGGTATAGAACATCAAATTGTGTTTGTACATTATCAACAAATTTGGTCATCTATTGAAATAAACTAGGGGAAATTTATAAACAAAGAAGTTCTGATTAGATCAAAGATTTTGTAGTGATTAAAAAGAGTATTAGGTATATAGATAATAAAGTTTACGAGATTAACTATAATTTAAAATGGTAGACTTATTGTCAACATAACTCCTGCCATTATAAAAACCTTAATTTTTTTATTTGAAATGAAAAATTAAGGCTCAGTTAATACCAACGTTACCGAATGTTATGTAGGTATCCGAAAATATCGAAGCTCTTTAAGATTTACTGATATGCATGTACTACATTGATATTTATTGCATATCTGTATTTACAACCATGATTTTCTTAAAACATCAAGTAATGAGGTACATTATATAAAACACGTATACACATTTCAGGTATTTATTGCTACATGTATTTTTCAAATGTTGAGACAATTTAAAAATGTGTACGCAATAAAAATATGAACCATTTCCTAATCATATAAGTACCATTAATAGGGCCAAACACATTTATATACTTTTAGAAAGATGTATAACGTATGTATTTGTACAACCGTAATATATAAGTCGTTTGAAAATATTTCAGGGAAAGTAAATATCAGATAAATTTTACAAGATAGTACAAGGTGTCTACCGTTTGATTTTCTCCAAAATGAAAATATATTTGCATAAACATAATTTACAAGCTCAGTTATATGATGGCGTTACGTAGGTATCAAACAACTGGGCGACAACGACATGCTGCAAAAAAATTGTCATTTACATGTGATTTATGTTTTATTTTTATAATTATTTTTTACTCTCATATGGTGTGCAGTAAATTTCTGTGCATAAAAATACACGTTTATTAAAAATACGGATTTGGCGACAGTAACGTATGTATCGTTTTCATAAATTCAGATTTTTGCGGTGTTTACAGACCATAACCTATGTTTACTTGCTCGTACTGAAAAACATTCTTATATTATTAAATATCGAGTAACAAGGGAACGACATTAATTGCACCTTATTGCTGAGAATGGGCGAAATATTGAATGCTTGTGAAACAAAAATTATCTATTTGACATATGGGTAATTGTGGTTTTTCGACACATATTCAGATGTCTTTGTAAAGTCATACATATTTTGAAACATTTTCTCGAAAGGACATCGACATCAACGAATGAATTACCATTCACAATGAAAACCACTCAGTCGTATAAAATGAGTATACACATTCGGTATTTATTGCTACATGTATGTTTAGACAATTTATATTCTTAAGGGGAAAAACTCAAGAGTGTAATACGGAAATAACGAACAGTAGCCCATCCAACCAATGCTAAAAGGGAACAGATCAACCACGGACCTCTAAGTTTAAAATATCAGAGGTGGAATCAGGTGCCACGGTGGATATTGTGAGTGGTAACATCTGCCTATATATTGACATAAATTGTGCATGGCTAATGGCTTCACTATAGGAATATTATACCGCTATATTTGATAATATGCTAGTCAGAAATTCCAATATTGCATTGATAAATATACATTATTAATTGCTGTTAATAGAATTATATACCCATATTAACGCAGGGACGTGAACAAGGTCTAATTGATATGATTTAATATCGTTAAGGAAGAATTATTTAATTGCTTTCAGAATTAAAATACACTTAATACTCGCAAGTAAGGAGTGTTCATGTGGCCTGGAATTAGATTCGTATCAAAGAATCAAAGATGAAAGACTAGCTGAAGAAGTGTTTAATAAAAACTGAAAAGATCCTTTAACGTGAATATTGGCCGATATAACGTATTATCGGGTTCTCCAGTGGATTAGAAATGGCTTTACTTCTAACATGAAGAACCCTTCACGCTATTCGAATAATGCAATGCAATGGCGTCTTAAAGCCTGAATCGGTGTTTTAAGTATAAATCAGAAAAATCTAATTACATTTCAGGTGGAAAATTCTGTAAATTTACTAGTTCTGTTATTACACAGTAAATTAATTTACGACATTTTACGATAGTTGTATCAACAAACGTTGCGATAGATACGATAGTGTTCTTTTGACCTGTCAAAAAGTGGTCTTACGTGATTGTCGTAAAACAAACTTCCCTTCAAAATGGTAAAGACAGAACCGTGTTTTACAATGTTTCGGTGAGGGCGTTTGCGTGTTTAAAGTATAACATCGTGTAACTAATTTACAGCTCTTAACATCGTTTGATAGCCTCTTCTTCTTTCATTTTACAAACTTAATCTTATTTGAATTATGCAGTGACAGGATGGTAAATTGATCTAACAGTGTTGTTTAAGTTGTATCATAATATGCCCTTTTAAAGACAAAGGCTTCTCAGACCCAAATAATTCTGTCATTAAAGGTAAAGCTAGATAGTTTATAAATATTGGAACTGTTAGTATTCGGCATGTTTTCTATCAATACTTCTTTGAAAATAAATTTATTTTTTTCTGTAATGTTTTGAGATCAGCGTCCATATAATTAGCTGATCTTATCTAAATTTACGTATGGTTTTGAAAGGCTCTATATTTGTTTTGTTTGAATTAGAATACAGTTTTAGCATGTTTCAAACCTTAGTCTGAATGATGTTTTAATTTTGTCTTTGAAAAAGCCACTTATAGACACGAATGTTTGTACATTTATAGAGGAAGGAAACGCAGTGTGTTTGTTTTCAAATTAATCGTTACAATGGTTCAGCTCAAGTTTAAGTACAGTCATATCAGAGACAACGTATAGGTATTCAATAAAGCCATGTCTTGAAGAATTCATTAAGACTAAGCATTTACATTCATATTTAATGATGACTGTGCTATCCCCTCTTATAAATTAAACACGATGAATTTTTTTCCAGAATGTTTAAAAAAAAAATTTGGTTGAAATTTACTCACCTTTCTGCCGGCTCTGTTATTATGTTTATTCATAAGAGATCTTGCGTTCTGTTCGATTTCTCTCGCGTCCAGAAATTTTCGAGAAAATTTAAGTCCATGTTTGATATCAGCACTACATCCTCCCCATTTCCAGCCAGCATTTAACACTCGGCTTTTCTTTTTACTTTGGTCACAACTGCACCGTTTTAATTTCCCCAGACTACAAGCTTGTGTTATGGAATAAGTTACTCCAGCGGACGTTATTGCATATGTAAACGCAGCTTCCTTACTTCCTGGAAAAATAAGAGTAGGTAAAATTTTTTAAAATGATTTTTTTTATTCATCTACGGGTTAAAAAAAAAATTTCAGTAGGGATTCAACTTATATTTACAGAAAGTTTTGATAAACAAAGAAAAAGTTCAATAAAAATTTTAAGAGGGCACAATCGAAAATAACGTATATAGCTTGAATTTTTAGAGGAGACCAAGTCATGATTTGTAAAATAATTTTGGGAACACCCTATACACAAAAAAGAAGTTTTTTTACAATGAAACATGCTAGGCATGTTCATAAATTTAAAAACTAAAAGAGTAAAAATGTAAACTTAAATAAAAAAATAATAACAATAAGACGAAATGCGTCGTGTACTTTCATCCACATCTAAGATGCACTTGACCAGACTTCATGAACTTTTTTTTATGTTTTGATGTTAAAGTTATGTCGAACATATATTAAAAGTGTTGTTCAAGTTCTTGTCTAGATCATACAAACGCTTTACTCTCAGGCAGACATGACAGTCTGATAAAATTGATAGCGACACGGTTCCAAGCGATAGGAAATTTATGCTCGGACAAAAGTAGGAAAGACAAAAGTCTTCGAATTGAACAAAAGTCATGTTGGTAAAAATATGACATTGTCGATACAACATATTAATAGCTGTGTAACACACGAGTCTTATCGCATACTGAATATGAATATGAAATCTAATATTCTGGCTTGTAATATGATGTTGTAACAAGTTGAACTGAATAGAATGGTCGTGTTTTATTTTGTTGTCTATGTAAGCTAGGGGAAAGGACAAGATTTAAAGTGAAGTATATAATGTAAGATATGATTTATGATTTTTGTTAATGTCCCAGGAGTGTATTTTGATCTAGATTTCAGCTTTCGTTAAAAGTACAAAAATAGATATTAAAAAATTAATTCGAATTTACTCATCAATCAATAATGACAGACAAGATATGAAATAAATTATTTCGAATCCAATTCATCACTTTATATTTCAGTAGCCAGTTCTATGACATCGTCGCAAACCACGGCCAAATTTTACGATCCTCTCCCATTCTAGTAGGAGAAAATGATATGCGGACTCCGAATCGTGGCTTGAGACAATGATTCTATGAACACGTTCAAAAAGCAAACATATCATATAAAAAAGCACGTTTTTAAATTTGATTATACATGTACTCAGTACGTACATATTCGTAGATTGAAACAATATATGTGTATGTGATACAATATGAACTGAAAATGTACTAAAAAGTGACTTAGAGACAGAGCTCTGTCATTTTACTTTTACAGACTTTCAGTGACCATTCAGTCAACTGAAAGGCACATTTTTACCTTGTAATTTTAAAAAGGACTTTTTAAAAACCGTTCAAACAAAGGTCCATTTAATATTCTTTATCACACTCACATGCCAAGAGAGAGAGAGAGAGAGAGAGAGAAGAGAGAGATCTAGAGAGAGAACTTGAATCGTGATATTCAAAGACGTCATCTTCTTTTAATGTATCCTTCTGTTTCTGGAATTGCAATTCATGTTGTCGTGAAAATCCATTTTCTACGTCATGCAGACTTTGCATTTAATTGGACCCTTATTTCTGCATTATCTGCGTGCATTGTTATTAATCTCCTACTAACATAGTTTTCTTTGTTCTTTAATGATTAAGGATATATTGTTATAGACCACCATCGTCTTAATGAGAAGGGAGAAAGAAATCTGGGCTATTAATAACGTCCGGTCGATGCATATTACGTAATAAACATGATAGTTAAACATGTTAAATTGCTGTCTTTTTAACTATACCAATCGTTATCGGAAATTTAAGTCATGAAGTACATAGTCGTATGTTCGCTCCTGCAGAATTTTAATTAATGAACACCACGTCACAAGGACATGCGATATGTACTCCTTCAATCAGAGGAAAAAAAGAACCTTATTGCCTGATTTGTATCATTAAAGGTTAAATAACCTAAATATTGATGAAGCGTTATTAATTTTTTGTGCGATTTTTATCGGGTTCGACATTCATCGCGAAATGATAAAATGACGACTTGGCTCAAATCACGTGACAAGAATAGACAAATGACTGTTTACATGTAACCCCTTCAGGATAGAAGATGGGTATTTTCTTAAGGTAATTTATGACACTTTATATCATCAATCGCTTATATTGTTGTAAAGTGCAGGGATTTGTACCTTTCTTTCAATGCTTTGATAATATTGATAATCTTGCTTAATTGGGCTTGCATAATTAATATATCAGTATATGCCACTTGTCGAGACTGTCAAATACACAAAAGATATATATCATTTTGCTTTATCTCCTAAATATATGTTGTTTAATTGCTCGCCTCAATGGTGCACTACCCGTGCCTGTAGCTAGCATCCTTGACCTTGCTAACTGGTAGAATACAGATACAAGTACTCATCTTTATTGGACATTTTGACGTGCCGCACGTGCGTGACCTAGAGGATATTAAGTTTGAAAGATTGATGGTTATTAAACCCAGAATTTTTATACTTGAAGTACCAGGCAGACAAAATTTTAATCCACCCCTCTGACTAATTGCGGAAATAGACTCGTGATAGCCACTGGTAGGAATAGTGTTTAGACAAAAATACTTGCATAAGGTCTATATCCATACGAGATGTTTATACATAAAATTACTAACAAGGATTTCTTGACCCTTTCGAACACTTATACATGTATAGAACCAGGCTGGCACAAGAGACATGTTAGTGGCAGCAGCCGCCTCGTGGCGTCTGTCAAATCACAAAAGACACGACACAATGCAGGGGTCTGCCTATATGTCCAGTTTAGCAATAAAGTCCATACGCGAGGATTCTGATGAAGAAAAATAATATGATCCGAAACAATCAGTCGACTGCTGATCTAATTTCGTGCAAAAAGTCGCTGTTTGGTATAGAGGCCGGCGCTGGGGGCGTGGACAGCCCCATTGTAGCGATGTCGGCCCGCACAGCTGCTTCTGTTTGTAATTGGGTATGAGGGTATTGATATTCAATGAAGTGCACGAGATAGATTCTGTGTCCCCTGTTTTGGGGAGGGACAGACCCCGGGCTTTAAGACTTGAGGTCGCATTCCTTGCCATTATTTTGCAATTTGCAGAGGTGAAGATTCAGGCGACACAAGAATTATTCTATCCCACTCAATATTGAACATGGCAATATATTTTGTCCAAAAGCGCCTTTTCTTTGTGTTTAAGAGTAGTTTTGCAATTTTTCAAAGCACGTGTAAAGAAAAAAAAACAGTTCTCCTGATAGTTGATGTTGGGTAAGGTATATTGTAACCATTAATTAAATGAATAAGACAGATGATCTTGTATATTACTGATGATACATACATGTATATGAAATGTTTACAGTATATCATAATTAAAAAAGTGAATAAATATTGTTTAAATAATTTTTAGAGTTTGCTGATTATAACTCGGACTATTTATTTACTATTTATTTATCATGCTCACTTTCACATTGTTTCATGTACCTGTATACCTTGTAATGTGTACCTCTGTATCACAACTAAATAAAAACTGTGTATTCTGATGTGTTTGACAGATTAAAAGAAAATAAAAATTCTAATATTTTTTATCATCTACTTTTATGAACTTGTTATTTTCCAATTTGGATACGTTAAGTGATATATACAGGGATTTTAAGGGCTATTATTTTGAAAAATATTCGAATAACGCATGAGATGGGGTGAAAATATTTTTCAGAAATACGATAAGATCATTTTTATTTCTTTCATACATTACATTTTATTTCGTACATGCTTTTTTGTATAAAAGCTTTAACTTCGTCTCATATGTTCTGCTCTTTAATTTTTCATCGTTAATTACAGTGTGAAATAAATCTAAACGTTTCTTGTGTGTTTATGTCCTGGCAGATTTCATCACCAAACTTAATCAGTTGGAAATGTTTTAAGCCAATTTGGGCGTCGACTTGCATTAGATATATCTCCTAAAATTTTCTTTTTCGAAGGCCGTTTTTCAGACCATAAAATGTTGTAATTCGTGTTCGAGAATAAATATTGAAAAATGTGTTTATCATGGTATATTAGTTTTCAAAATTGCTCGATTCAGAACAATTTTTGTCATTACCCTGCTAAATTGTTCGTGAACTATTCCCATCATTTTGCCGAATAGAGCGAAGGTGTCGTGGTAATCGAGTTTTTCCTAGACGTGCGAAGAAGAATTCAGACGATTAAAACGTGCCTGCGATTCCTTGTCAATGTTGATATTTAAACAAGTAAACGAATTTATTTTTCATTAAAGAGCGAGGCATACAGTGTCAATATATCTATTACTAATCCCCGGTAAAGGTATTCTAAAGTGGGCTAAAAAGAAGGAAAAATGAAACATGTTAATCGTCTGTTTTTATGTTCTCCGCCCGCCATTGCCAATGTCGCGGTTTTGGCATTCAAACAGGTGTTTAGGAAAGTCAATATTATCATTTCTCTCTTGAATCTGAAACACAAATAAACGATGACACGGATTATAGGGCTATTCTTCCGATTTACGATAATATTTTTTCACGAATTCTTTTAATAGGTTTGAATGTTATTACTATATGTACACATGATCTGTGCTTTGGTCTGTTGTTGGTATTCAGGGCTAGTTTTGATATGGTCGATCTTCTTTCCTCTTATGAATAAGGCATCGAGACGAAAACCGTGAGAATAAGCTTTTTTGAATTTAAATAAAAATCATTTCATTGTAGACCATATTTTCCATCTTTTTCTACCCCCGCAAAACACCTTAACATTTGAAATACTGCGTATTATTATCAGATGGTTTTTAATAATTTAGGAATAAAAAGAAGGCAAATAGTGATGATGAACCAAGTTAATTATTTATATGGATGTGGGTTTGAAACCTTTTGATAAGACTACATTGCAGAAAATATTCCACGTATTTCTTCCTAATTTCTCCTAATTTTGTCTCTGATGTTTGGGCTTTTTGACGTGGGAGGAGATTATAGAATCTTTTGTCTATACAATCAGTTAAATATTTTCTATTTATTTTGAAAAGGTTTTTCTCATATTTTTTTTAAACATCCATACATGTGGAAGTTAAGTCCAGGAAATCTGAAGAAATATACACGTAGGAAATAAATTAACATCTTGAAGTATCTTACAAGTTTCGACTGCACATGTACGAAACTCGCATGGCACGACGTGTTTATTACTTCCGGAAATCTGTTCGCCCTTGTATGTGATTATGGTTTCTGGTGTATTTAGCAATTGCAATAATTTCGCACCTGAATGTGGCGATGGTGTCTGTTATATTTCTATTGGCAATATATTCACACCTACGATACTCAAATTGTAAGTTTCTAATGAGCACGGACATAGGTGACCCTAGACTGACAATCATTACGGTTTATTGTTCCGTCTGCCATAAAACGAGTTGTCAGGTCACCAAATGTCAACTGACCTTTGGTCACTATACCTATCTATATCCACATACCAAACGGTCTGTCTAATGGAAATGATCATGCCAATAACGATTTTCCTCAATGGGCTCAATGAATAGATACATGTATTAGGTTTGTTTAAAAGAATAGATATTTGTTTTGTTTTTTTCTGAACAGCAGTTTAACTAGTACCCTACGTTTTAAAATCGCAGACTAAAAATGTACTCACCAACTTTATGCGTGTGACCAAACATGGTATTTTCTGCTCCGCTACTTGAACAGTTCCAGCGATTATTCCGGAACTGGTATTGGCATTCGTTTATTCCCATTTGTACTCCCTCTCCGATTGTAACTATTGCGTTCGGTCTTTTCCGGCAAATTGATCGTTGTCGAGGAGTTAAACCGGGGATTCTGTTACAAATGAAATTGGCGCGGAGGGCAACCACTGATGACAATGCCCTACAAAAAAGGAAAATAAAATTAAAGAAAAAACAAAAATGGATATCGAAAGAACTGGTACCCCATTTCTTTTCCCCAAACTTCACCCAAGTTAGATTTTTTGGATGGCTCTATTGCATTGTTCAGATTGGAAAACATATATTTTATAATATAAATTCTATCTTTCTATATTGGTCCCAAACCTTTTGTCATTCAGTATTTTATTTTTCGAGTCAAATGTATTGTATGTTACGAGCATTTTTGATAAAAAGATACACGAAACAAATCTACATAATGCCGTAGATCTTGCAACAGTGTTAACCTATCATTACACTGTATTGCTACACTCAGATTGTGAAGACATTTGTATAAGCCACGAATAAATTAAGGGTTGCTTCATCAAGATTAGCTTTGATTTTGATTCCCATTCTAAAAGTCACTCAAATCAGAATGTAATATCTCTCTACACTACATGTTCGTGGTCAAACTTCAACACACCACTAACTTTTTTTTGGTGTTTTATTTATTATCAGGGTTTGTGCAATATTTAACTCAGTCAGAACAACTAAATCACAGCACTATGTCCACAAAGAGTTCCTAAATCATGGAGGAAATAAATTCTGAGATTTACCATAAGAGGTAGAAGATGGATATCCAGTGACAGCCGGCGTACATTTGTCTGCCTATATGCCAACACCTTATAGGAGAAGAAAACAGTCTATTAGTATATACACCGCCCAAATAAACCATTTTCCAACAGATATTTTATTTTCTTGACCGTTACATGCAGGGATAGAAAAAAGGGGATAAATGAAATATAGGTGTCGGAATGGTATAAGGTATGATCAGTGATGGAGAAAGTATAGAAATATGCAAGTACATGTAACTGTTATAATTTCATTTTTTATTATTTTTATCTCTTTTATTTACTTATGTTTGGGGGACAACTTAACCTTAATTCCACAACTTTATAAACTCTGTATATGAAAAAGAAGTTAAAAGCAATGATATGTGTAAAAAGCAGTTTCACATGCTTAGTATTAATATTAAGCATCCCAACATCAGGGGAAAAATTAATTAAGGTTTATACTTTAGCAACTCAACTCATTAAAGACCTTTTTCTAATTTAAAAACAAATAGAAGTGAAAAGTTATTAAGGTCAGAAGTAGGAAACAAATTAAGACAGAAAGTATTAGTAAATGTAGAGTTTTATCATTTCATAGAATAATGCTTTCTATGACTGACGTATAAAAAGGCCAATTTTTACGTTAAACAAAGAATAATCTGAATAGTTAAAAAAAAAACAGAAAAAAATTCGAAAAATTCGAATTTATTTAACGTATTAAACAATGCATAAATGATAAAACTCTTAACATTATCCATTATCCAAGCGAACACTTTGAATTGAATAATGGTTTCAGAATCAAGTAATTGTCGATATTTATTAAGTGAATTTGCTTTCTTTTCTGTTTCTTTTTTGCTATGGTGACTTAATTTTCACTTGTTTGATAATATCTTGAATGTCTTTGTCCGCCAAAAAATTTAATGGAAGACTATGTGTCATAAATATGCAATAAAAAAATTGACTAGGAAAGAGAGAGAAAAAAAGGACAGGAAATCGACTGAATTACATGTATTAAGTACGCTGATTGATCCCTGATTAATCACCTGTTGGATTAACGAAGTGACAAATATTATTCAATTTATTTTATCCCTAAATGGTCAAAGAAAAAAAAAGACACAAACCGTATAATAAATTTTGATGCATTTGGTATATTCTGGAGGATTAACGGGAATTAGAGGAGCTTAGCCAAAGGGCGTAATGAAAAATATACTGTCTGCAGTGTTAACAGAAGAGCCATTCAGAATTAGGTTTTTATGCCTATAGAATTGCATGTGCACTCGTAGAACACCGCTTTATATTTCAACGTATCTGTTTCATATGCATCGTTATGGAACAACGTATTTCATTGAAATCCTGTCAGAAACGATTTCATAAACAAAAATTGTAGACATTTCAAGATATAAAGACTATTGGTGTATGTTTTCAGTAGAAGTTCAGAAGTTTTTTGACTTGTCTAACACTTTGCTTAATTACACAAGCCCCGCGATTTTTCACTTCTAAAATGATAAATTACCTGTAAGTGACAATTTGAAATATTACACATTATTTTCAGGGTCAAAATTATCTTCTATACCCTTGTCAAAATACAGTAATGGTTTTACTATAAAGATAATTTTTTTTAAAACATGTAATACGGGTAATTGTCGACTATCTATACGCACGAATATTTCAAACTGCGATATGCAAAGAATTTCAATATCCAAGTTGTCCCAGCAAAGTGCCAAAAAATTCATTCATAGACTTTTATCAATGATTTTAGTCAATCAGCGAATAATTATCTATACAATTCAGTTATCTCCTCTCTTAAATATTGTCAATGGCTACACAATGGTCGGACTTATAAAAAAAATACTGACAGATAGGAAATATCATTATAAGGTCGAATTACTCACAAAAATTCGCCGTATATGCAGAAGGTCAGATAAAGAATTCCCACTGAAAACTTAGTCGATCTGCTAACTCCCATTATGTGCAATCATCGTGTTTGTTAGACATTAGTTCCATTCACAATCACAAAGTTAATTTCTTTCAAATTAATCCAAGACATTATTTTGGGTTAAAGAAAGTACCACAATTTTTTTCCCACTAGCGATTTACCAATATTATGATTTCTGTTATGAAAGGAAATTCTACACCATTTCTTGGAGGTATATTTTTAAGATCCTTTGGCGGGCATTGAGAATTTGAGTGATGATAAGGAAAAGAAAACAAAAATAGGAGTCGAAATGTTTCATCAGTAATTTGTAATATAAGAATGAGTCCGTTCCGGTAAACGATTGGTCTCTACATTGTTGACAGGTAAAAAGATCACATGAGACACCATTGGGAGAATCGGTCTGTTACACTAAAAGCCACGCCCCCTCCAAACACTATCAAGATACGAAGGGTTCATCTTTTACTGCACAAACGCAGATCAAAGAATTGCCACCTTGCTAGTAGTGCATTCGAGCGAGACAAAAAATAGCCGAAAAAGACGCAATATTAATGAAAAAGATCGAAGAATTTTTAAAAAACACTTTTTAAACATTGAAAAAAATTTGGAGACTTGTTTATTAATTTTAAAAATACATAAAGTTTAAGGAGGAATAAAAAATGTGCGGGGAATTTGTCCTTTTTTCGCATGCCTTTTATTCATAAAAGGATAATCTCATGTCAGATGAATACTTTGTGCTTGAGGACACGACAAGGTTTGATTTGATTACCGTGCTGAACACGCTTGGAAAAATCTATTGAGATAATTGAATTTTGGCTTGTTTTTGTTGATATAGGTGTATTGTTATCGAAATGTCACAATAATCGCCTAACCTCGTCCAAATCAATTTAAAAGCTGACATTCAATCAAATATCTAACTGTTCGCCACCTTGATGAACCTAATTATTTCTTCTTAAATCAGGGTATGGTCTTCACAGGCATATCTCTATATCCTAGTTGAAAAAAGAACTAAAAAATAATCCTTTGATCCGCTCCCGACTTCTACGTCACTGATCTTTGCAATTTCTTCCACATGTTGTCCGAGACCATCGTATATATAGACCGTTCATACATGTATGACCTCAGCGCGGAAGACCACATATTTGCGGTAATTAATTGTCATCGTCTGGTAGAAATAAATATTATTCGACGGAAATGATTTGCTAAAAGTGAGATCTTTACCTTGGATGACATGACGTTGTCACAGATGCGTAAAAAATAGGCATGGTATAGTTGAAGGAGTTGCAAAAGTATTGAAGTTTATGATGTGAAGTTTTGCGGTACAAAAATTAACTTTAAGAATTTGCGTAACTACGCACAAATATTGTTTTAAGTATCGCGATTGAGGTAATAAAATCAAGGCCTATTGCTGTCATCTGGTTCTTCCAAATTTACTACATTTAGAAAGACTTGTTTGCCTTGCAACACAGCTTCAGATGAAAAAGAAGTACTACAGTTTTATAGAAATTAAATATTGATGTGTGAATAAAAAGAAAACTGTATCTTGTCTAAAGCCTCTAGCTATGTTTTTCCTCTTATTTCGAAGTTAAACAAAACAAACATTACTAGTACCCTAAACTTCGTGTCACATTCACCCGCGCTGTAACTGATAGAAACAAATTGGAGACTTTTTTTTCTGAAGCTAAATCTACATAATCTACCATATTAACAGTCGTTTTTGAGACCCTGGCAGGATAATCTATTTGTTTATGTTTTACTTTGTTTGATTTACCTTTCCAGCACTAGGAGTATTTTAAAACCATCATCTCGGCCCGAGGGGGATTTTGTCAAAGACACCGCTAGTCCTTCATAAATTTACGTGTATCCAGGTATCTTTCACACATTTCAAGATGAAACCCTGTATTGAAAAGCCCACAATGAGCGTTATCTAGTGGTAGATGTCATTTGTGGACAAATAATGATGTTTGTTTTCCTATTAAAGGTAGATTCGAGATTTTATTAATCTGTTTGTTTGATAAGAGCCTGTTGTTTCAAAGCGACTGCACTAAACAGAGATGCCTTGCATTTCCGCTGGCCGGGAGCGGAGTAGAGGAAAATAGCGTTTTCCTTGTACATTTTTTCTGCTTTGTCTTTAGAAGATAAGTGAATTCCAAAGGATCCGTGCTGCTTGCTAATAGAAAGAAAGAGGTGAGAACGAATTCAGCAAATATTCACGATTAAATCAGATCAGTTTGAATGCCAATCTAATGAGTCGATTGAATGCAAAGCTAACACTGAATTATGAATATTAACCTTATATTGCGACAAAATACAAATCAAAGCATTCCGTCCTGTCACTTTTTTAACCCCTCTATAAATTTAGAATTTTGAAAATAAATCCATAAAACGAGAGAAAGAATTGATAAACATCTCTTTTTTTAGGTTCAATTTAAATAACGAGTCTGTATAGGGAATATCTTGATTTGACGTGACTTTTAAAAAAAATCAAAACAAAGTCTATCTTGTCTCGGCTACTTTTTTCTCTCCTATTTTTACTGTAGCATGAATGAAGGACAAAAATCTCTTTCTTCAAAAAAGCCTCTTTCTTTGACAAACATCAAAGAAAAAAAAACCCAGGGAACCAGCATGATTCTTTCATGGTGTGTTTGTAATATGTCTCTCTTGAGGCTCATAACCAAATGTTGGAATTTCAATTTTTAGTGAATTGATAAAAATCAATTTAAAACGCATTTTATTTTTCACTGGTTAACGATAAAAGAAGAAGGAGCAATTTGATTCACTCATAGTCTCTTAGCTCGAAAGATGGCTTGCGAAATTCTTTTATAAATTATATCCTCAAAGAACGTTTCGAATGCAGGTACAAGATTGATTCTCATAAATTTGTTCGGGTTTGATAAAAACCCATTGACAAAATAGCTAAAATATGGAGTGAAATAAACAAGTTTTGGTTGATCGATCAATAAATCAAGCATGTCAGAATGACTATTGATGGATGGGAAACCGAGATATGAATGGAAGGTGTACATTATATTATAACTGATACCCAAGAGGAAAATGTGTTTGCCATGAATTTTAATTTGACGCCTACAAAGAAACCTGTGGGTAGGTCAATTTAAATTTTTTCCTCAATATGACATTAAGATTTAAACGAGCTCTCAATTTTTATTTTTCAGATACACTGTTTCCTTTTTCTCTGAATAATTGAGGCATTTTTCTTTTCAAAAAAATTGACAGTTTATCCTTTAAAGAACGTAAACATTTTCTTTTTTCCAAAAAAAAAATTCATTTAATACAGTTATTAGAACACATAACAAGGATATAAACGAACACCTTTATGTAGTTGGTACATCTGCACATTTATTATAATTATACATGTAATTACATAAATTTTTACTCTGATTTGTTGTACAGCTTTATAGAACTTACATTACTTTCTGATAACATAAACAAGAAGTGTGAAAAAAGAAATACATCAAGTCAGCCTATTTTTTATTTTCATGTTAAGGATTTTACAAGCAACATATTTAACATCCAATAGAGATTTAAACACTCTCTTACGTTTATATTAATTTTCATAAAATCATAAAATACTCTGAAATTCCAGAAGCAAATAATTTTTTTTTTTACAATGGCGGCTTTACTGAATCCATTTTGGATGAAAATACACTACATATTTGTAAGTAACGTTCTTCTTTTCGTGAAATTGTTTGCAGGATAAATGTGATCAACGATAATTTATCTAACTTTATAAGTTTTTTGCTCCCTTAATCTGTAAGAATGTATATTAATGTGTTGTACTATTAGATCACCTTATTTGTGACTATGCCAACACATTCCTAATATAGGTCAATGATACAGAAATTTAGTAGAACGACTTACTACATCTGCTGATATCCGGTACAAGAGTACATTTCAAGGTAACTTCTACTTTTCATTAAATGACGTCACTCATAAGAAATCTCAGACAATTGCTGGTGCACTTTTTATCACTGTTGCCTTCTAACTGACATTAATATCGGCCATAACAATTATTGTTAACACGATAATAAATTTTTTATCAAAACATTAAACAGTGTTTCACCAAAAACCATTTTAGCCTACAACAATATTTGATCGCAATGTTCATCCTTCTACATGGAGAAGTCAAATTTCAATTTAGCCTAATTAAGACCGCCACTCTCGCCCATTGACAAATTAGGCTCTGATGTGTCATATAATTTGTTGATACTGCTTTCCCTTAAGTCCTATTATACAGGTATCAATTGTTTATATCCTGCTTCTTGGCACTATGCATTACGTAAGTGTGATTCAGGAATTGCCAATACGTGTCTTGGAAAAATCACCAAGGCTTCCAAAAGTACTGGTACACACAAAAATATCAGTGATGCCGTTAAATTGTAGAAACAAGGGTCATCGTTGCCCTGTTGTATATTTTTTGGTAATTTTACCCTCTATTTCTTAAAAATGACCTATATTATGACTCCAACTTTAGCCTCGAGGTTTTGATTAACAAGATTGAATCTACATAATCAATACTTGATGCTTCATCATATTTGTGTAACTTAAAGTACCTTTTGATTCTGGAGAAAAAGATGTGCTTTTGAAACACTTCTGCCCCCGTATGACATCTTTTAGAGATGGTTGAAGTTTCTCAAATTCAAGGTAAACTCCTTCGTCAAGGGTTGAAAAATGTTACTCATAAATAAAGGACTTTTTCAATGATTATTGTGAAAAATGAAGGCCCAAGCTCTAATAATTAATATGTTGTGGCCAAGGTCAAGTTTTATAATCAGGGCCAAACTCCAAAGTCAAAGGTTCAATAAAGGTATCAAAAGGAAGGCCTCTTGATAGGAAATACACATGTAAAATAATAAAGCCCTAGCACTAACTGCTCAAATGTTAAGGTCAAGTTAAAGTTTTCAAAAGTAAGTCAAACATCAAGGTCAGAAGGTCATTATTGTTAGCATCCAAATGGAAGGCTTTGTTACATGGGGTGCTTCTTTACCCGCTTTTTATTTAATTAAATGTGACCCTGCAACTCTCTTAAAGCTTTTCAAATGCACATCCACTGACATAAAGCTTAAAAATTGCCGAATCCGCTTTAAGCAATAATCAATCATATTTTCTATATCAATTTACGTGTAAAAGATAAATTTCCCATTGTGCTCCTTACTAAATCCAGATACGATGATGTGGAGAAACGTGAATTTGCACTATCAGAGTGTTAACTCAATGCCATATTAATATGACTAGCCATGGTCTACTTTTAAAAAAGAAGTTCTTTCCATATATTCCCTTCTAAATCTTTGATCTTATATTGTGATACCATCCTTCTATCACGGCTATGATT